CAGGACGAGACGTAGGCTCACGACGCTCTGTAAGGGAGACTGGCTGCTCAGTGTAACGAGACGGGGCAGGCAGCGGCGAGTCCGGAGGAAGGGCAGTGGATGAAGGAAGACTAAGAACCTGGCGGAGCACCGACTCGGGCGGAAGCTCGTACAGTTACGGCGGTGGCACGAAAAACGGTCGCTTCTGCACTGGCCTCCAGCTCCAGCACCTCCAGCGCCAGCATCGCGAGCTCCAGTAGTGCCAGCTCCAGCGCCGCCAGGGGCAGCGCCTCCATCTCCAATACCTCTAGCGTCAGGACCTCCAGCTCCAGCACCTCCAGCGTCAGCGCCTCCAGCTCCAGCACCTCCAGCGTCAGCACCTCCAGCTCCAGTAGCGCCAGCTCCAGCGTCAGCGCCACCAGCTCTATGATCTCCTGCTATAGTACCAGCACCGCCAGCAGCAGCACCTCCAGCTCTAGTGCCTCCAGCTCCAGGATCTCTAGCACCAGCACCTCCTGCTCCAGTGCCTCCAGCAACAGCACGATTCTGAAGACGGGTGCGCCGGGCAAACCACTCGCGCAACTGCTGTGGTGAGAGGGGCGCACGCTGAGAAGACCGCTGCGGTGAGTCTCCCGGAAGGCCCCCAGCAAAAGCAGCACCACCAGGCTCAGCACCCCCAGAAGCAGCACCCCAAGCAGGCTCAGCACCCCCAGGCTCAGCACCCCCAGGCTCCGCACGCTCAGGCTCAGCACCCCCAGTCTCCGCACCCTGCACAGGCTGAGCACCCCCAGGCTCAGCACCCCCAGGCCTCACACGCACAGGCTCAGCACCCCGAGTCTCCGCACGCACAGGCTCAGCACCCCCGGGCTCCCCACACACAGGAGCAGCACCCCCAGGCTCCGCACGCTCAGGCTCAGCACCCCTAGACGCAGAAGCCCGAGCAGGACCACCCCCAGCAGGACCTGAGTCACCAGTGACCTCGACAGGCTCAGCCAAGGGAAGTGGGTCTACCTGAGAGACACCTGAAGGAGCAGGACCCTGAGGGGGGAGGGGGTCTACCGGAGGGGGACCTGGAGCGAGGAAGAGCGGCGGGGGGGGGGGGAGAGGGGCAGTGCGGTAGGGGAAGAGACGGTAAAAGGGAACCGACTCATCGAACGTGACGTCCTGAGAGGAGAAGACACAGCGCGAGGTGGGGTGGTAAAACTGCCAGCCACGCGCGTCAGGGGGAAAGCCAAGGAAGACGCAGGGAATGGCGCGAGAGGAGAGCTTGTCCGCGGTGGTATCGCGGACAAAGGCACGAGAGCCCCAGACCCGGAATTTCGACGCATCGCCAACCTTCCACGTCCAACGCAGTGTGGGCGAGGTCTCCGGCAAGGAGACACGGGGCCAGAGGTTGAGCTGATGCGCAGCGTACCGGACCGCAAACGGCCACAGAAAATGGGGAGCAGCCGCATGGATCATGGAGGTACGAGCGACCTCCATGACTAAGCCAATGCGGCGCTCAGCAACCCCATTGTGCTGCGGAGAGGCCGGAAGCGTGAACGACTGGGTGATGCCCTCCCCCTGACAAAAGTCCCGCAAGAGGTCGGAGGAGAACTCACCACCTCTGCCAGAGTGCAGACGCAGGACAGGAAGGTCCGTGCGGAATCGTTCGCGGAGTTGGAGACGAACAGCGCAGATCCAAGGGATCAAAACATCAGGGACCTCCCCCTTGCTGCGCAAGGGGAAGACCGTGGTGTAACTCGAGTAGTCCTTAACAACTAGCAGAAAGTACCGCTCGTGGCCCTGTCCCTGGACGCGGGCTGGGCCCCACACATCCATGTGGAGGGTCTGCAGGGGAGCAGTCGTCGGGGGAAACGAGGAGGAGTGAGGAGCGGCGCGCTGCCGCCCCTCGACACAAGGAACATAGGGCGGGGCAGGAGAGGGTGGGAGGGAAGGTAGAGACCTGGGAAGACCAGTGACAAGGAGGCGGGAGTGCATGCCACGAAGGCGTGGCAGGGAGGGGTGACCAAGGCGGTGGTGCCAAAGGAGGGTCTGGTGCGACAGGTGACGACACTCGCAGGGGGGAGCTACCTGACCTGATGCGGGCACCTTGCCAGACGCAGCAGCCTGAGGAGGCTCAGTAGTCAGCGTGTACAGACTAGACTCAGGCCGACGAGTGAACGTGGCCAGGTGACGGCCAGTCTGGGAGCACGTGCAAATCGCCACACGCTGTCGACTAGGGGTGAAGGTGTCAACCCCCGCATCCTGAAGGACATCGGTGCTCACGAAGTTCGTCGAGAACGAGGGGAGGTGGAGACCTGACAGTGAGCCGGACGGAACCGCCGGACACGGGAGCAAAGTGGACGAGCGTGCAAGCACTGGACCCCCAGAGGGGTCAGCCAGGGAGACCGCAACCGGTCTAGGGAGCGGTGTGAGTGCGGTACTGTCATGAAAGAAACAGCGTGAAGCACCTGAGTCAAGCGTGAAGGTGTGCAAGGCCTCAGCAGGCACAGTACCAGAGAGAGCAGACTCACTAGCACCTAGAGCAGCAGCCTCTATACCTGGGTCGGGCGGCACACACAAGTATCAAACACCCTCTGTAGTAACAGACAACGCATACATGGCACGAAGGATAGCATCATAGTCAAGAGCAAAGATATCAACTCCTGACCTAAGCAGCTCCGCCCTGCGGGGTATCTTAGCCTCCTCGCCAAACTCAGTGCGCCAAGCGCCCTTGCCAAACTCAGTGCGCCAAGCGTCCCCTAGGCGGGAGAAGCAGCGGTGCTGGGTGTGGAACTTCCCGCATGTCTGACCAGCACGGTCACCTGTGCGAAAAACGTACGGGCAGCGACCACTACCCCCAGGCGCCCCACGCTAAGAAAACCACTCACGAAGCTGCTGGGGCGTGAGCTTCTCCCACGGACGCTGCTGCTGCTGCTGCTAGCGCTAACCTACTCCAATCCGACCACCACTACTGCCGCCCCGACCACCACCACTACCACTCCCGCCGCTTCCGCCACCGCCGCCACCGCCCCTGCTCCCACCACCACTCTCGCCACCACCGCCACCTCCGCCGCCTTCACCGCCTCCACCGCCTCCACCACCACCTCCTCCGCCGCCACCTCCACCACCCTTGCCGCCCTTGCCCTTGCTGCTGCGACGTTTCACACTAGGAGCAGAAGCGGCACCGACCTCCTAAGCGCCAAGGAAGTCGACAGCAGTAGCAGTAGCAACAGAGGGGGCAAGAGGGGAGGGGGAGCACCCCTCAAAGAAGGGCGTGGGAGGAGCGCCACGAGTAGCACCTACAACGACTTCACTAGTCTCAGCTGCAAGGAGTTGCTTCTCGAGCAGGTCGATGGTGAGCTCTGTGGGGTGAAGAGCGAGAAAGTGGTCCTTAACTGCGTGAAGTGAGTCAGGGAGGCGAGTGACAATGAAATAGAGAGTGATGTAAATCGGGGGCTCGTTCTTGGGGAGAAACTCGTCTGGGAGGGCAGCCCGGTAGCGAGCGACAACAGCGCGAAGGTGGGTAATGAGGTCCTCTACAGTGGCAAAGGAGGACAGCTCGGGAAACAAGAAGGGCAGGATAAGGCGGCCGAAAGCTGCTGTTGCAGGGGAGGAATAGCGAGTGACTACAGCGTCGAGCAGGGCTGTAGCGGTCTTATGCTGGCCAAAGTGAGCGCGTTCCGTCGGCGGTAGGTGGTTGCGAATGGCTAGGCGAGCAGCAGCGTGACGGGAAAGCCACTGTGAGCGAGTCGCACTGTCAGCAGTGTCAGGAGGGGCAATAGAGGCTCCAGACGTGTGATCAAAGAGGGAAACACCATCCTTTATATCGCTCAGCAGGTACAGCTGTAAATCATCAAGCCAGGTTTCAAACTGAATCGGACGACCGTCAGGGTCGAACTCGAGAACAGCGAGGGAAGCCATAGCGAGCAGTACAGGGCAGAGCAGAAGGCAGGAATGAGGCGGCACGCAGCTGGCAGGGCGGCGAGCAGCAAGGCAGGACGTGCGTAGGGCAGGGTAGGGCGCGGCAGGGCAGGGCCGGGCGCGCAGGTAGGGCAGAGGCAGCGCGAGGGCTGCAAAGGCTGGGCGCGGGCTGCAAGGGCGGCGCGCGGGGCAGGGGAGAGGCAGCGCGAGAGCTGCGTAAGGTGCGCGCGAGGCAGCAAGGGCGGCGCGCGGGCTGCTGGGGCGCGCGCGGGGCCGGAAACGGCAGCGCTCGTGCTGCAGGGTCGGCGCGCGGGGCAGGAGAAGTGGCGCGCGGGGCTGCCGGGGCGGCGCGCGGGGCAGGAGAAGCAGCGCGCGGGCTGCAGGGGCTGCGCGCGGGGCAGGAGAAGCGACACGCGGGCTGCTGGGGCGGCGCGCGGGGCTGCAACGGGCCGCGCGCGAGCTGCGCAGGCGCCGCGCGGGGGAGGAAAGGCTGCGCGCGGTACAGCAGAGGCAGCGCGCGAAGCTGCAAAGGCGGCGCGCGACCTGCAGGGGCGGCACGCGCGTGCGGTAAAGGGCAGAGTAGGGCATGGGATAACGCAGTAACCGGTGGGCCCTAAAGAAACGGTCCTACGGACCTACTACTCTGATAGCATGTTGAGAAACTAGGCCAAGAATGAATGAAACTAGGAAAGTTGGGATACATGTTGTACCTCATGTAAGCTACCCCACTACAGCCTACAAACAACAAAGTATTATAGTTTGACACAACCATGTTTGTCGAGTCGCCCCGAATGCAGCATTTTGCGGTCGTGAAACGAGGTGACAGCTTGTTTCGTTAAAATTTAAAAAATTCGCGCTAGAAACGAAATGTTTTCGCGCATGCGGGGTGTGTCGCAAAGCGCGTGCCACGCGCGAGTCGCGACCAATCACAGCAGCCCAAGCCCAATCTTTCGAAGTGAGTTGCTCATTCTTGACAATGCACTTCAGCTCCCGAAGTACAAACATGCTTTGTCCAGAGCCTGTTTAAATCAAAGCTATTGAGGCTATTGATAAGAATTGCATGAAAACTACTCCTGCACTCTCTCTTTTAGATTAGCCAGCCCAAGCCTTGTGCCATGGTTCGACCGACGTCAACCTTTTGGCTGCACGTCAAGAAAGAGACGGCGGAAGATGGTACAATCACTACCTACGTGTGCCTTCAGTGCCGTTTTCCGGTAACCCCAAATGCAACTAGAATTGGGGAGCACCTTTTAGGCACTCCAAGCTCAAAGCATAAGAACATAGCGATCCGCGAATCAGATTATGCGAAGCAGCTGCGAGCGTCGTCCATCAAGGAGCGTTCGTCCTTCAGAGACGGATCTAATGGAGGGTCTACGTCCAGTGTGGAGGTGCAGTCACCCCGGCGCTCACGGCAGCGGGACATTCGGGAGATGGCCGACGTGACAGCGAGCGGATGCTTGGACTACTTGTGGGCGGCTGCTGTTGCGGACAACGACCTGGCATTTAGGACGCCCAAATCTAAGGAGATGCAAGCGTTTGTGGATGCAGTCGCCGCATTCGACAGGTCCTACACATTACCTTCGGCCTGTAAGGTGGCGGGCCCACTTCTTGTCAAGTTGAAGCTCGACACGGAGGAGCTTATCCAGCCAATCAAAGAGAGTTGGCAGAGAAGCGGATGCACCCTCACGATGGACGGCAGGACGTGCCTCAAAAGTCGGGGCATGATTTGCGTCATCACCCAAAACGACACCGCGCTGATAATTGTGGACTGCGTTGACTCTAAAACCGCGAAGAAAACTGGAGAGTACCTCGCGAACCTCATCCAACATTCGATTTGCGAGGTGGGGGACAGCCACGTTGTCCAAGTCGTCATGGACAACGCAACTAACAACAAGCGCGCGGCTAGCTTGCTCAAGGACGAGTACCCGCAAGTCTTCTTCACGAATTGTGCGGCCCACGACTTGGACCTCATGCTACACGATATGGGAAAGGTGAAGGCGGTGAAGAGGGTCCTCAACCAGGTGCATTGGGTTGTGATGATGGTCAAGGGGAGTGCCTCGGCCGTCACACTTTTCCATGAATTGGTTGTTTAGCAAGCTAGCGCTTGTCCACCCGGGTGCTACTCGTTTTGGAACGCAAGTGATCATGATCGAGCGTTTCCTTGAGGTTAAGGAAGAATTGATGTCGATGGTGATTAGTGAGGAGTGGGGAAATGTGGCGGTGGCGAAAACAGAGGAGGGAAAGGCTATCCGTTGTCTCCTCTTGGAGGAGACGTTTTGGGACTCCGTCACGGTCATTCTCTGCCTCATGCAACCCATCTACGAGGTGCTACGCATCGTTGACCGGCAATCCCTTGTGATGGGGCAGATCTACGGCCTCATGCTTGAGGCCATGGTCAAGACTAACGAAGCGGCATCGACGGCGGGTAAGTTCAATGAGTTAGGCATACGATGAATCTATCCCTAAACTAGCCACTCCCACGCTATTACTCACCATCAAGGTGTTGCTCTTCCCGCGTGCGCAGCTGCCCAACTCTCCAAGCAAACCGGTTTGCTTCCGGGAAACGAAAAGGCCGCGTTTCTAGCTGTGTTTAAGGCTATCATAGCCAACCGATGGGACGGACAGCTGCACAACCCCCTCCACGCCTTGGGGTGGCTTCTAAACCCGAAAAATCAGTACGTAGGCAAGGTTCGGGAGGATCCCGAGGTGAGGGGGGGGGCTGAAGAGGTGTTTAAGGCAAGGGGACGATGTGGACGATGCTAGCGGTGCAACTAGCCGCTTTTCACAAGGGAGAGGGGAAGTTGGGGTCTGTGGATGCGCGGTGGGCTGCAACCACCTTGGTGGAGAGCGGGAGGCTCTCCGAGGCTGAGTGGTGGGAGTTGTATGGGGGTGAGGTTCGTGCTTTACAAAAGCTTGCAGTGATGGCGCTTTCCCTGCCCGTGACTTCATCCAATGTCGAGCGTTATTGGTCCGCTCTAGCTACGGTCCAAAGGCGAGACCGCAACCGGCTGAATGCCACATCCATGACGGACGTGGCATTTGTGGCATTTGGCCGGCGAGCTCGGGAGTCATATGACAAAAAAGCTGAGGCCCGTGCTAAGCTCTACACCGACCTCAGCAATGGAACACTGAAGGAGGGCAGCAGCAGCGTGACTCCACCTCTGCCAGTGGAGGCGGAGGTGGATGAGGAGGAGGAAGCGGGCGGGGAGCCGTGTACCATTGACTGGGACACCTTTGAGAACAATGGCAAGCGGGTGACCAAAAGGAAGCGCGCAAATCTGAAGAAGAAAAAGAGTGCTTCCAAGGGCAGCCGGTCCCGCAAGGAGAAGGAGAAAGTTTGTGAGGAGGAGGAAGAAGAGGCGGAGGATGGGAGCAGTGATGACAGTGGTCCGGATGAACCAACCAATCGGAAGAACAAGGGGGTGAATGCGTGGGATTGTAGCGGGGAGGAGGAGGATGACGAGGAGGATGAGGAGGAGGAGGAGGATTAGGACTAGGTAGGGAGGAGGGGGCTGAAGGATAAGGACTAGGTAGGAGGAGGGGGCTGAAGGATAACTATCTGTAGGTGGAGGGGGCTGAAGGGTAAGGACTAGGTAGGAGGGGGTAGAAGGATTAGGACTAGGTGGGTAGGAAGGAGGAGGGACCTGACTGTTTTTTCTTATTTCTGACTAGTTTTTAGCATGCTACTTTCTGTTTGTATGCTGCCCTGTGTTGGAATAATATATGAACCCCTTTTTTTTTTGGCACAAAAATCTCCAACAAAAAAACGGTCGAACTTTAGAAAAAATAGCGAAAAAAAATGAGTGTTTTGAATGGAGCGTATTTTACCCCAACCGAAATTTTGAACCTTGGCCCATAATATCCATTAGATTCTAAACCTCAACCTTTCTATAGGATCAGTCGGGGATCTCCAGTGCAGATCTTCTCACACTCGCCTTCACCCTCGTGGTCATCCACCACCTAACGCAGACATGTCACCACCACTCACATGTAACCTCCATTTACCGTCATATCCACTCACATGTTACCTCCACTCACATATTACCTCCGCTCACATGTTGTCAATCCAATCCGGATTCTCAGTCATCTCTTCCCTTTTCCTCAACTCTCCCCCTTTCTCCTGTCACCAGAATTGATGCACGAATTGCAGCAGCTAGAAACGGGAATAGGGCTCATGCATGAGCTGACTCAGTGGTCCTCGGATTACCTTATGTCGTTCGGCGAGTGCTGCTCCACGCACATCTTCGCCGCCTACCTCAACTCCCAAGGAGTGCCGTCCAAACAGGTATGACGCGGATCTGCCCGTCCCCCTCCCCTTTCTCCCCCCTCTCTCCCTCTCTCCCGCCCTCCCTCCCTCCCTCCCTCCCTCCCTCCCTCCCTCCTCTCCCTCCCTCCCTCCCTCCCTCCCTCCCTTCCCTCCCTCCCTCATGTCACCTCCGCTCATGTGATCTCGCCCACGACTTGCGCCAGTTGGATTGGATCACCCATCAGCACATCCGGCAAGCTTGGATCCACATGGCATGATACGACATACTCGGTAGATGAGGCCCACCGCCTCCCGCGCACACTCCCCCGCGTCCCTCAGATCCGCCACCTGCCACTCCTCCAGTGGCGACTCCAGCAGCATCTCTACCATCCTGTGGATTCAAAATTCATACGAACAGAGAGAGGGAACGGAGAGAGGGAACGGAGAGAGTGCACGGAGAGAGGGAACGGAGAGAGGGAGGGATATCATGCGGGGGGGCAGCCCGGAGCATAGAGAAAGCAGAGTCGGGCGCACACTCTCTCCAGGTCCCTCCGAGAAACATCCGTGTCCCTATGGTCGAGCACGCGGTTGATAAGGTGCACCGTCTCCCTTGCACACTCCCCCGCGTCCCTCAGATTGGCTGCCTGCCACTCCTCAAGAGGCGACTCATGTAGCATCTCTATCATCCCTAAGAGGCGAGGTTTCAAAGAGCGAAAGCAGGGGGGTTGTTGTCACTCGGAGGAAGTCTGGAGAATACTTGAGGCATTGCCGCACACGCACACTCCCCAGAGTGGACAACGAAACGGGCAAGAAAGCAGACACACAAAAGGGTGCCAACTGAACGCAGGCGAAATAAGGTGAGATCCTCCCACCTATCATGCTGATGATTGGCATGCGCAGCTCGTGAGACAGGTTAGCTACAGTGACGCTCTTGCTCAGCCTTCTCCAGCGCGGTTGTGCACAACTCCATCTCCCTCACACCCTCCGCCATGTGCCTTCGCTTCCACGCCATCACTGCAATCATTGTCGACAGCATCAGTGCTACCAGCAGCACCAGCAGCCCCAGCAGCATGGGTGCGCATACCACGTCCCACTTGGGGTATGCTCCCTCAAACCTGAGGACGCACGGGCAGAAAGTGGAAGTGGGATGGAGAGAATGTTATGGAATTTACTCATGACATAGAAGAACGCCACCAAGTAGTGCAAGCAGCACCAGTGGCATTGGTGCATGTGCCATCAAAATTGAGGGTGCATGGGGAATGTGAGGTAGACGGGAAAAATCCTTGTCTTATTCGACTCAAACACCAGCAGCCTGAGCTACGTACAAGGTCTCACTTGAGGGATGTGCCTTTGCAACTCGGTGTGGAAAGAAAGTGCACATGGAACGAGGCGTTTTTTTTGCTTCATGCTGCACTTTTGAGGCATCTCAAGAGTTTTGTTCTACTTCATGCTGCACTTTTGAGGCGCCTCAAGAGTTTTGTTATGCTTCATGCTGCACTTTTGAGGCTTCTCAAGAGTTTTGTTCTGCTTCATGCTGCACTTTTGTGTCAATAGTAGCTTAGGAGGCTAGGGTTTTGGGATGAGAGAGGTGGCCAAGAAAATAGGGTTGCACTAACATTGGAGGTACAAGATATAGGATGAGGGGAGGTGGTGAAGGGAGGTATACCACCAAAGAACAAGATATGGTGATACTACACTAAGTAAATATGCAATTATATAAAAATAACACATTCTGACATCCCCCCTTAATTGCATGCTAGTCTAGCTGGGGTAGGGGCTCATCTCAAAGGACAACAACACCGTGCTGACAGATGGGCCCACCACTGGGTACGGTGGCCCGCCTACGGTTTAACCCCCGCAGCGGATGCCTGGTGTGTGCGCACGACGAGGAACGACAGCGCCCAGATACGACGGATAGGGAATAGGCAAGGAAAACATAAAATGCGAACCTCTCTCTCTCTCTCTCTCTCTCTCTCTCTCTCTCTCTCTCTCTCTCTCTCTCTCTCTCTCTCTCTCTCTCTCAAATGGTCTTGCATGAAGTATGGGGCTGTACAAAGGAAGATGCAAGCACATGCTCAACAACAAACAACTTACCGGTATCCCATCTACCACTCATCCCCTACCCACTCCCGCCCCTTTCTGTCCGACCCTATTGGTCGAACGAGGGCTCTATCAACTGGTGCAGCTGCCCCTCGCTAAGGGGTGCAATGGGTCCCTGCATGCCGAGCTCGTCCGCCGCCAAGGCCTCATTGGTCTTGGAGCGGAGGGCATTGGCCTGCGCCCGTTGGAGGCAGACGCTCCAGCGCTGGCGGTACTCTGTCAGCAGCTTGGCTGCCTCGAACAAGGTTGGTGCTGCGTTGAAACGCAGCTTGGCCGCCAGCTCCGCGCATTGCCGCAGGTAGGCCAACACTCCCGGGGAGGGGTAGCCGTAGGTTTCGACCGCAAGGGCATGGAAGCCCACCCACGCATTTCGCCGCGCGTATGTCGCCTCCTTCTTAGCCGCTGCCGCCCTAGCCGCCCATCCCGGAGCTCGGCTACAGAACTTGTCCTGGTGGGACACGAGATCTGTCACAGTCACATCGCACATCCACACTTCTCCCGTCTGGGGATGGCGGATTGTGACATCCGCCTTAAGGTTTTCAACGAGAGAGTAGACGTAGGTCTTCTTGTGCACTGTGAAGCCCGCCTCTGCCCCTATGTTTGCTTTCTCATCCCAAAGAGCGTGGTGGGTAGCAGTCCTCCCTTTCCCTTTCTCGCAACGCATGAGATGGTTGGGGAGGCGGTCATCGGGGAAGGTGGTGCGGTAACGGCAGTCACAGTGCCTGGGCACGGGGAGGGGGAGGCCTAGGCGGAAGGCTGCTGCCGTTGAGAGCTGAGAGGGGCCTAACCGTAGCGAGGGGATGAGGGGAATTGCAAGTAGTCAATCTCCCGCACCCGGGCCTAGCACCGACTGCATCCGCTGGGCGTGGCCGGAAAGGGGGTTGGGGCGCATCCACCTCGCCTCGCACATAACCCTCAGGAAGCGGCGGGAGTGAACCGCCAGTGCCAGGGACTGCTGCAGCTTCAGGCCCTTCGGGTCCGCCTTCCCGGCCTGGAGCACCTCCAAGGCCTCTGGGGGTAGAGCTGCCTCTGCAGCTGCGAGGCGTGCTGGCAGCGCGTGCGCGGAGCCGTGGGACGGGTCCAGTAAGGGGAGGAGCGCAGTAACAGC